AGTGGTAGTAGTTTAGGTAGGTAGGTAGGTAGGTAGGTAGGTAGGTAGGTAGGTAGGAAGGTAGGTAGGCAGGCAGGCAGGTAGGTAGGTAGGTAGGTAGGTAGGTCGGGGGTTGGGGTTGGGCGTTTTAGGGTGTATATAATATAAGGGGCTAGGGTCGATGCTCAAAAGGTGTTTAGGGGGACATAATTTATAGAGTTGGGGTTCAGCCTGGTGGCTGAGGCGTTTAAGGTTTAGGATTAGAGTGTAGATGTCTGACATCGTGAAAGAAGTGGTGAAATCGGACACCACAGACACCTTCGGTGTCGAGGCCCCGGTCTTCCACTTTCCGATGCTCCAGGGGAAGCGATTTCCTGCAACAGCTGCAGCCGCTGGAGAATCCTCACTTTTCTTTTTGCTTTAGGGCGGCAAGCCGCGACTGACAGTGTCGTTCTTTCGCTTCTTCCGCTTGTTTAGGCCGAAGTTCAAGAAGGCCTTAAACGACCATGCAATATGGTAGGTTTGTGATGACGACCCCACATTCACATTAAGTTAAGGCCCCTCTCGCCGGGGGCTCCGGTTTTGTTGGTGACATCGTTTTCTTGTCGCCGGCAGGGTTTTCAGAGATGAGGAAGTGAAGAGGCATGTGGCGGCTTAAGGCCTGGATTGCGTCAGGACACCCCCCCCCAAGAGTCTGAATGATGAAAGGGGTGCTGAAGAGTTGCCACTACTATTCCTTCAGTATACCCCAAACCCCTACTCGAAGTAATATGGGGGGGCCCTCAATATTTCCCTATGCTATGTTGGGAGGTTCCTTATGATTATTATCACCTAATATACCCAAAACCCTATTCTAATTATTACAGGCCCCTAACCCCCTAAACCCTAAACCCCTGAACATTAAACCCTAAACCCCTAAGCCGCTAATCCCCTTAACCCCTAAACACTAAACCCCAAAACCCCAAACCCTAAATCCTTAACCCCTAAACCCCTACACCCTAAACCCCTAAACCCCAAACCCCCAAACGCCCAAACCATTAAACCCTACAAACCCTAAACCCCGAAACCCCTAGACCCCTAAACCCCCCAAAAACCCTAAATCCTAAACCCCAAAACCCCCAAAAACCCCCAAACCCTATATTAGTCAGGCCCTAAACCCTAAACCCTAGGCCCAAAGGGATCCTCCAACTTGGGGACCTGGGAACCTTGGAGAGACGAGCTTGGAGACTCCAGCAATCAGAACCCCCAAGGCGATTCCGAGCATTCGGGCTGCGTTTGAGAGGGCTTATAGGGTTCTAGGGGCTTTAGGGTTTTAGGGGCTTTAGGGGTTTAGGCTATTAGGGGCTAGGGTTTAGGGGGTTAGGGTTTTCGGGGGTTAGGGGTTTAAGGGTTTATTGTTTTGGGGTTTGGGGTTTAGGGTCTTGGGCCCAACGGCTGATGCTACACAAAGCTTCTCAGAGAGGGAGCCTTACTATAATATAGCGGCCTGAATACTTACCTATGCTATTCTTTTTTCTGGGGGCGGGGGTCCTTACTATAATTATACCCAATTATAGTATAGTATCACCCGAAACCTATTCTAATTATTAAGTCTCCTACATGAGGGAGACAAAAACGTTGCCCACAGACTTGGTGTGTCCTGCGGGTCTTCTCCTGAACTGACCTCTGAGATGAACCCGTAAGTTCAAAAATGCACGAGCGCATTCATGCAGCTATAGACTCCTCAACTCCTGTAGTGTAGTTCTCTAAATTAGAGTCCCTTTTTAGGTACCCAATATAGTACGGCACCTTTATAAAAAGGACCCTAAAAGGGACCCTAATTTAGACAACCACCCTGTAGCAAGTTTTGGTTCCTTCCGAACCCTAAACCCCAAAGTTCAACTGTACCGGTATCTTGTAGTATGACCACCTGTCCGACCCAAGGGCCAGACTCTACTGAGGCGATTTCCTGCCTCAGGGTTTGGGGTTTAGGGCTTTCGGGGCTGAGGGTTGAAGGCTTTCGGGGCTAAGGGTTTAGGGTGTGGGGTTGAGGGNNTTTGGGGTTTAGGGTTTTGGCGGGTTTGGATTTTCGGGGCTTAGGGTTCGTCGGGGCAGCTGTTGTCGCACAGGCGATCAAGAAGCATTACAACTTCCCGTGAGATGCAGCCGGAGAATGCAAATAGATGAGTTAGTAGTACATACTCAACCGAGGAAGCTGTGGCGGTCAAAAGGGTGTGTCGCGGCAATGCATGCAGCTTGCATGAGTCAGGCAACTTGCTACGTACTGATCCTGAACATGCGAATCCCTGGGGTGCGCCTGACTGCGAGAGTCGTGCATGTGCTTTGCCAATCGTATACATCCGGTCCAGGGCCGTCCTGAGATCCAACTAGAAATGTAAAGTGGCCTGAATTCTGACGCTTTGGTAGGGCTTGCCGACGGCTGCCTATGATTTTCTAACCGCGCGTTTCAGATGCGTTGGCTTCTACGACAAGTTCCGAACATGGCCCGTGATTCGCGCCGGTTTCGGTCCCAGAATCCATACTCAGAAGGCCCCTTACCTGGACGATTGGACGGAGATTGCAGAAGGCAGCCGCGTATTCAGGCAGCCAAGCGCAAGCCCTTTAGATGGGGGGGGGGGGGGGGGCGTGCAGGAATAAATGTCGTAAACTGCAAAGCACCCTGCAACACCTGGGTGACCCTCGCTTCGGGTTCGAGGTGGGGGTTGAGAGTTTAGGGTTTAGGGTTTGGCAGGGTTGATATTATCGGTTTTTAAGGGTCGGGTATTGGAGAGTAGAGGGCACGGCGACGACAGGACTGCTGTTTGAGTTTCCGGGCAATGAGGAGAGGCGTGCAATGTGGCAGTCGAAGGCAGCTCTCACGAAGCATGACACTCGGAATGCGCAGAAAGCTACCTGAACCTTACAACCTTCAGCAGCTTCTGACGGTATTGAGTAGTCGACGAAGGCTTTTGCCTTCGCCTGAGACCCTCAAGCCCAAAATGTCATGACAACTCCCAGCAGCGTTTCTTTTCAGCAATGTGGGCTTGGGTACGGTCAAGCAGAATTGTTGCTACTCGGGATCTTGCCTTGCATGGTTTGATGTACTTCTTGCGGCATCTCCTTTTCGTGCTGACTAGAATACGAGAAGAGCAATGGTCGGAACGGTATAGCAAGAAGAACAGCAGCAAGCGGGCCACTAGGAGCACCACCAGTAACGGCCAGCAGTACGACGGCAGTACACGGTAGTAGGAGGATCAGCAGTAGCAGGATTCAGGCACAACTCTGACTTTAGTAGTAACTAGTACCACCAGCGGTAGCAATACGATTGTCAAGCAATGAACAGCAGTAGAAACAAGTTTGCAAAGCAAGTCTGGAAGCTTCATGAGGATGACAGTATAACGGCTTTGTCGCACTCATGATGACAACTCCGGTACGTTTCTGAGAATGACGACATTGCCCGACATTGCCCAATCCAAACGCGTAACACACGCCAGTGGGGCCATGGCAATCGGCGCACCAGAAGCAGCCGGCTGTCGTCCAAGCTTTGTTGCACAAGGCAATGCGAGAGATACCGTGGCTGCTGCCCATGCTTCTGTCGGGAAGAGCACATGCACTCCCAGCTTGCGATGCCATGTGCGAGACGTACTGGGGGCACTACCGAAACTTGCGCAACCTTTCCCAGCCGGCTTCCTCGCAAGCGGAACTTGCCAAAGATGTGAGCCGCTACCTAGATGTGCTTGCAGAGGGTGACATTGAGTCTGAGCTGCAATCCAAGTACCTTACTTTGATTCGAAGCCTTGAGGAAAGCCTTGAAGATCAAACTGCCAGGCGAAATGTGCAGATTGATTGTAGTTGTTCTATGTTGTTCTTGAGTCTGGTTTGCATACATTTGTACTGTATGTATTTGTGTGATATCGAACGTCCCCAAATCACACAAGAAACCTTTAGAGTTTGTAGGGTGTAAGACTGCTTTCTGAGATTACTTATCCTGCCGAATGGTCCGCGTTGAACCCGCAAGTTCCAGAAGCAAAGTTGCGCTGTCGCCGTCAAGATCCGTGATCGCAAAAGAACTGCCGTGATGCCGAAGCTCGCAAGACGATGCGTGCGTTCGATCATGGCGCCTGGCCGAGACTCTGGTACAGTCTTACGGATTTCCAGGCCTCGCTCTTTGCCCGTGTAGCCCTGCTGCACGCCGCTGCGGCCGTGCAGCAACAGAACCGGCAATACCACTTTTCTCGCTTGCTTCCCGTCGACGGCACGACGGATCACTTGCCCGGGCCGGCCGTCATAAGCCATCCACGCCAACGCTGCTATCGGAAAACGACAGGCCTCGCATCGCACCGCCGTCATATGTGGCGACACGTTTGCTGCAATACCTTCGGCGGTCTGCTGCTTGTTTTCGTGTGTTCTTCAGAAGTGGCCGACCTTGCAATTCGAGGCTTGCGCATATCTGTGATGCCCAAAAACCGATCTCCATGAGCTCGTCGTTGATGCACGTGCGCCGGCCAGTCAGTTGGTTGCACGCTGCCGGTGTTCCGAGGTCAGCACACTGAGGCGGCCTGCCACGATTACACAGTTACGCTATTGCGCACAGCACGTGGACGAAAAGTGATCGACGCCGCTTGCATTCGCAGAAACCGCTTGGTACGAAGTCGCAACCACAACCACTGGCCCCAAAACATCCCAAACTTCCGAATACGAAACACACGAGTCAACGTTTGGTTTTCGATGCTAAAAGTTGCAATTCTTCTACCGGCGCCAGTGAGGCATCCATGAGCAGCTCTGCATCCAAAAGAATATCTGCATGTTGTATGCAGCAACAATACAATATCGAGCCCTTCTCTGCCTCTTTGGGTTGTTGATGTGTTTCCGGGCATCATAGCAGTTCTAGCACCCTCACGTTGTCCGAGGGAGCTGAAGAAACGGAAAGAATCACGGGCCCCATCGCTGGGAATTTCTGTGACGTCGCACGCGAATGAGCCCCCACGCAAGCATACGAAAGACACGACATGCAAGCGGCCTTGTCGTCAGAGTACGGTTTAGGATCTAGGGTTTGTACAGGCTACATCGACACCCGCCACTCGCAATATGGTCTTGGCACTGGTCTTGGCGCGGAGTCAGGGCTGTCCCGCGACTTTGAGGTTCAAACATGTCCGAACAGCAGTGTCGCCTTGCAAGAGCTTGATTTCTCTGTTGTGACCACAGCGTTTCCCTCAGAAACCATTACGCAGCGTGGCCCTTATGAAAAATCGGGCCAAGGATGGGTTCCAACTTGTCTGAAGCTTCAAGGTCTGGTGAGCAAGGTGGGAGACCGAAAGCAAACGATCCAGACGGAGTTTCGAAGGGCGAACCTGCCCAGTCGACGCTTGCATGAAACAACGGAGGCTATTGCGGGCAGTGCGAGTGTTGTGTCTTGAGGGTTCATGTATTATGCTCTCACTCCAACAGTTCCCGGTGTGCATCAGGGTGCCAGTAATGAGTATAAAGATGGGCTTGCCCGGCGAGAGCACGAGACCAGGAGTATCCGCTGGCTCGAGTTTCGGCCCGCATGGCCCGCGTTCACAGCCTTGCCGACTGACACGACAAAGGCGGGTGATTGATGTGAGACGTGACAGGTCAACAGCAAATGTAGGACCGGTGCTCCGCAGCTGCTGGATTCGTGAGCCGACGAATAGCCGTCGGAGGTAGCAGTGCCCCCAGTCCTTCGACGGCACATGGCATTTATCCATCCATTTAGCGACAGGTGCTGGTCGCGCTGTTTGTGCAAAACGACAACGGCCATGGCAACGACAACGGCCATGGCACACATGCCTCCGCGAAAGTTCCGCGATGACTCCCAGCGTGTGTGTTTGCGAAGATTTTTTTTTAACTTATTTGCTTTCTTTTTTTTTTAACTACTACGACTAAAACGATCATTAAATTGTAGTCTCTGCTGCTAGTCACTGCTACTTTTACTTGGACTACTACTACTACTACTACTA